ATATGGATCATCGTTTTTCCACATGTATAAACACATAAGTATGCATGAATATATATACTGATGCAATAAAAGTAACAGATATATAAATGTTCATACCTGTACATACATAAACAGGTAAAGTAAAAACTATATAGTTCACATACATATTCAGATCCATATACATAATAGTAAAAACTACATAGTTGAGTAAAAAACTTTAAACATGTCAACAACAACAAAAACCTCTGCATCATCTTTACAAATGTAAGTGTAATTGAAACGATAAGTTTATTTGCTATTGCGATGATGCTGTTTAGTTCGCGTACTTTACCGTCGAATGTGAAGATATCGTCTATGTTGTATGCGTGGATGTTTTTGAAGTTGTTATTAGTTGTGTGGTCAGTACATGTTGGCGAAAAGATCTTACCCATCATGCAACCATTGATCTGTAAACACTGTTGTTTGTGAAAAATAAAAATAATTTTTTGCAGTGAAAGCTGTAGAAATTTTATTGTGATATGATTGTATGGATGTATGGATTGTGGCACGGATCTTTTGAGAAATTTTTGTGATCGCGATTGATCTATTGTTTATCATGTTTTTGTAAAGTGAGTTGATGTCTGCTATAACTAGGTTTTGGTGTCGTGTGTTTTGTGGTATTCTAGATAAATTGCAAAATTCAATAATTCAGTTTGAAACATTTTACTGATTGTTTTAAAAACTAATTTATAACAACATATATTGGTTTTACAATCAAATTCAAACATATTGCAAGAAAACTGCAAGGTAAAATAATAGCAAAATGAAAAAATTATTTTCGGCTATTTATAAATAACTAGTCTGAGGTCTGATCTAATCTATAATCCAACATAACATAATACATACACTGAAAACTCTAGACGAGACCATTAATTAAAACTGACTTTCAATAAAGCGAGTAGTATCTTCTTCAAGATTTTACATTATGTTCGGTGTCTACTCTACTGTCGCTAGGGAGGGATTAATTTTTTTTAGGTAGGCAAGGTTTCGGTTTCTCATGGATTGAAAAAATTTAACATCGATTATTAATATTTGATAATCGCACAAAATATGTACCGAGTGATTGTCAAACATATCCAAACTTTTAAGTTGAAATGTTTAAATTAAATCAAGATTGTAACTAAATTCATCGTTTTTGTAAAATTTGAAACAAGAAAAAGAGCGATAAAATGGGTGCCATGTAATTTAAAAACCTTATCTATGTACACAAGCGATAATAGATTTTAATTTTGGCGCGTAACTTTATTCTAAAATTCTATTCAAAATACTAATTTTTCGTTGTAAAGTTGACTGTATGGATTGCTTCACATTTCAGGATTACAATAATATATAATTTGTGGCTAAAATATCTGAATTATTGATAATTTGTTGATAATTTAGCTATTTTCAAGTTTAGTTGACACGTGGTTTTGATCAGCTGAATTCTCATGTGGCTTTGTTCAGATCGAATTTTTCTTTAAATTTGGTTTTTCATTTCTGACATAGATCTAGACTTTTTGAGAGAAGAGTACTGGCCGGTGAACCAGCCAAAAGATTGCATGAATGGTGCGGAATGATGTCGCAATTGCTTTCGCCGCTAACCTACCGAGTAAAACAGTTGGAGGGAAGAGATGAGTAGAATTTATTAGAAATCGAAAGATTGAAGACGGACCTTAAATCGGCAAAGAATGTGGCAAAACCTTATATCAGTACTGAATGGTTGATGTAGTCACCAGAGGTGCAAAAAGTGTAAAAAAAAGCCTGCACATTAGTTATTGGTGAGATACAGGAGAGAGAAAAAAGGAAGAAAATGTTGTTATTTACGAAGTACCAGAATCAGGACGAAACCAAAATTAGAGAGATTTTCAAGGCTATAAATAAATCTGACGTTTCAGTTGCATACTCAAGAAGATTGTGATCAAAAGACCCCACAAAACCTGGGCCATTATTGGTTGATTTGACTGATAAAATAAAGGAAATTTTAGAGAATTATCTCAAGTGCTATCTAATGTAGATTTGACTAAATTATTTGAAAACTTGACTGTACAACAAATGTATAACAAATTTTTTTATTACATAAGTGAAGTAATCAATATTTTCGTACCCATAGTCGATGCAGCAAAACGTCGTGATAAAACAGCTCCATGGATCAGCTCACATTTAAAATCACTTATCAAAAAAAAAATGTTTAAAATGACATTTGTAAATCGAAGGTAATGAAAATCTATGTGATGAATATAAAGATTTTTGCAAATATTTAAAATCTGAAATCGACAAAGCACGTTTTCGTTATGAAAAAACATTGGTTGAACGAGCTAAGGATAATCCCAAAATTCCATCTACTTGAAACCCTTAATTTTAGTTTTTATAATTTGGATAATTCTATTCCAGTGAATGTAGTCCTGCTTGATTTTGCCAAGGCATTTGATACTGTTTCACACAAAAGATTATTAGCTAAATTAAATGTTTATGGAACAAATGGATTGGTGTATAAATGGATTGAATCGTTTCTTAAAAACAGAAGACAAAGAATTGTTCAAGGTGAACTATTTTTGATTGGTGGTGTTTCTCAGGGCTCTGTTATTGGTTCTCTACTCTTCATTCTCTACATCAATGACTTACCAACAAAACTGAAAATACATTAAAACTCTTTACAGATGATACCAAAATCATGAAAGCAATATTGTCAGATAACGATGTAGTCGAACCTCAATCTGATTTGAACGAGGCATTTAAGTGGACGCAAGACTGGCTTCTACGGTTGAATATTGAAAAATGCACTGTTATGCACCACGGATCAGGTAATAAAAATGTACACTGCACATAAATGGAATACTTCTTGCTGAATCTGAATCTGAGAGAGATCTTGGAGTGATTTTTTCAAATAACTTGAAATGGAAAAATTAAGTCATCACAGCATCGAACAAAGCAAACCAAATATTTGGTCAATAAAATAATTATTAAAAAATTTGATTATAAATTGTTTCGTAATTTATACCTAACTTTGTTATTCGTCCACTGTAAGAGCTTGCAGTATCAGTTTGCTCCCCAGATCTAAAGAGTAATAGCGAGGTAATCGAAAGAGTCCAACAGAGAGCAACAAAGTTGGTTCCATTTATAAGAAACCTAGCTTACGAAGATCGTCTTAAAAAATCGTCTTGGTGGAAAGAAGACAAAGAGAAGATTTGATTAAGTTGTTTAAAATTATGCATAATTCGGACAAAGTTGATTTAAATAATCGTTTTAGCATAGTCAAACCAAATCAATCAATTAATCAATCAATTAGCTTGTAAAGCGCTATTTCCGCAATGTTCAACAGCGCTCTCAAGAAATTTCGAAAACAGATGGGTCTTGAGATCCGCTTTGAACTTCGTAAGTGATGGAGAAGTAGTCAGAGAAGTGGGTAGAGAGTTTCAGAGAAAAGGGCCAGAAAAAGCATAGATTTGGCAAAAGAGTGTTTAACACGAGTTAAAAGAACTCAAAACGCGAGGCCACAGTTTGAAACATCATAAAGAGTTAATAAGACATAGAGGCCAAGAGAATTACTTATTCAATAGAGTCGCAAATACTTGGAACTCATTACCAAATGAACTTTTTGAGGCACAATCAATGATGTTGGATGAACAACAATCAAGCAACGAATCAGCTGTGCTAGCATGCCTGACAGCATGCTCTCTGGATAACCTCCAAAACAGCATTACTGCTTCTACTATTACATTAGGCTGCGGATGCTTTTGTGTCAGATATATTTTAATATATATATATATATATATATATATATATATAGTATACATTTTTTCAATTTATTACTGTCAAAGCGTCTTCCATAAAATTTTCTTCTCTTAATTTAATAATTGCATAATATTGAATTGAGCTGGAGTTGTTTTTTGCATTGTTGCCCTCGTAATAAATAAAAAAAATAGAACAACATTTTAACTTCACGATGCCGACAGACTTCAAAATTTTCTTCAAATGTTTTTTTTAAAACTGCGTTTTTTATAATTTATTTTTATTCTTGTTATTGTTGAATTATTCATGTATGGGTCCTGATCCACCACCATCATCATCCATCTCAAATGTCTAACTCAGCTAACTCTTGCGTTGTTTTTTCATCATCAATTATTAGATGAATTAATAATCTGTTTGTAATTTTAAATAAGTTATTAATTTATTTGTTTTTAATAAATTATAATTAAAAGTCGATCTTATGTTTTTATGGTGAAATGTCTAAAAATTTGTCCAGCACAAAAATAAGTAAGTAAATTAAAATTAATATTAAATACTATATAAATTGTAAATACTAAATAAGTAGTAAATTTAAACTACTATGTAGTATTAATTTTAAATTAAAACTAAGTGTAATAGTACAGGAGTGATATAGTTTTCTGATTTGGGTTAAAAAAATTAAACGGTAAAATTTAAAATAATTAATAATGTTAATTTAATTTATTTTTATTAGTTTAGGACAGGTTTACAGATTTAGGCAATCAATTTTTTTGAACATAAAAATAAAACTCAGTTTTAGTTTTAATTAGATTAGTTCTACAAGACCTTTACACCTTAGTTTTTTAAATTAAATTACACATGTTTAAATTAAAACTTTTAAATAAAAATCTCAGGGCAAATGCAACATAATAATGGTGCTAATTTTTTTTCTAGTATTTAATTCAAGTGAAGTAATTTGAAAATAATTTAGTTTAAATTTGATATAAAACATAAACTGATTAAGAATGCTCAAGTACTCAGAAATTAAATTAGGTCAAAATTTTATATATAATAATCTTTCAATAAAATTTAATTATTTAATAATTTCTTTTTACATATATAAAAAGGAAAGATTATATAGGAATGTATTAAATGATTTGGATTAGATCTGATGGGTGTTGTTAATGCAAAGAATAACTGAATAATGCTCATTCAAATAATGTTTGAAATTCATAATTGTAAAAAATACATTTTTAGAACTAACATTTATTGAAATATCTACATTTATCATTGATCCAGGTAAGGATAGTGTCAAAGTGACAACAGTTGTGGCAACAGTTGGTTCCAATGGTAATGACCGACCTCAAGAATTGTGCTACACTTCTGTCAAAGTTATCGGTCATGGATCATTTGGTGTTGTCTACCAGGCCAAACTTTGTGAGGCTGGTCAGATGGTGGCCATCAAAAAAGTTTTACAGGACAAACGTTTCAAAGTAGGCACATCCGTGTGCAGTTATTCATCCTCTGTGGAAATTTATTTAATTCTAATTCATCTGTTAATAATATTCATGAAATCAAACATGAAACATCCACTATGTAAACATGTGGATGTTTCATGTTTTAAAGGAAAATTTTAAAGCATGGATTTAGCCTAAGTAGAGGTGCAAAGTTAAGTTTGAGCAACAGAAAAATGATTGATTTAAAGAATAAATGAAACCAGCACTGGGAAATGAGAAACTGGTGACACATTTCAAAGTTTCAAATAAACATAAGGCTGCCTTTCATGCACGTATCTGAGATCTGCCCTGGATGTGGGGTGCATGTGCACTGATCCTATCAGTTTTCCCTAGGTAATTGCATTGCAATATGTAATTTTGTAATTTATTGTAATGTAATCTTGCAATGTGGATCATCATCATTCTACTGCTTTCATTGATGTGAAAGAGTCTTCTAAGAAGTGGCTCGGAAGGTGGGCAGGCTGCGTGGCAACTTAAAAGCAGGAAAAGGAATGATGTTTAGCATATGTCTAAGAGTAGTGTTAACCTTTCAGTGCCGGGAAGTGCTGCTGGACATAGAAGCAGTATTATTAGAATATGTCATCTTTCAGTTGCTCCAAACCACATAACTAGAATAAATTTAACAGCCTTTGCTCACTTTTAACGTTCGAACAAGGAGCTCACTTCCGGAGGAGAGTTAGAGGGTGATTTTATCCCTGCTTCAACCCACAAGAAAGTGTTGTATGTTGGTAAATAGGCCTCCCCTTGCTCCAAACAAATGCACAGGCACTCCAAATGAAAACAAAATCAATCAATCAATCTTCGTTTTGCGTCCAGAGACCCGGTTTCCCGAGGTAGGACGTTGTTTTCTTTGCCATCAACTTTTTGCGCCAAATTAGACGATCAGTTGTATCCATTTCATTTAAATTTAGAGTTTTCATGTCTTGCTCGATTGTTTGCGACCAAGACTTCTTTGGACGGCTTTTGGGATGTGTGCCAGGTACTTCAACATCTGCAAGAGAAGTTATGGCACTGTTTCCACTTCGTTTGACATGACCAAACCAACGCAGACGGTGTTGCCGGCATTCGTCCTTTATATCATCTAAAGCAGCACGACGCAGGATTTCGGTAGATTTGATGTGGTCCTTCAGACTAATTCGTTGCATCTATCGGAGCATTTTCATGTCGGTTCGTTGAAGTTGTTGTTCCAGTTTGGTTGTCATTGGCCATGTTTCTGCACCATATAACAACACCGGACGTATCACAGATTTATAAAGTCTTGATCGTAGTGGTAGTGGGATGTCACGCCGCATCGATATAGAGGCAAGGAGATGCCATTTATTCCAGGCTGCACCATGCGTGCTCGAACGGCAGCTTCAGCTGTTCCAGTACAATCCAGAACATCTCCTAGATATTGAAACGATGTGACTTTCTCTACCTTAATGGCTTCAAAAACAGTGCTATTTCGAATTTGTTGTTGTGGATTGATGCAACCAGGACAAACAAAATTGGACACAATCAGGATTGTTTCAGATTTTGGTATTGCTGAGATGGTGTCAGAGAATGCAGTCCGGAAGTCATTTTTCATTTCTTCTGATTCGCCTGTCTGGTGCGTATGCAGAAAAAATAAATAATCGTTGTTTGCTTTTCTATGCGGAGATTGATCCACATGAGACGTGAATTAATCCTTTTAATATCCAGTACTTCTTGGGCTAGCGGTTCTCTGACAAAAATTCCAACACCATTTTTGGCCGTTTTTTGACCATTCCAGAATAGTTTATATTTTTCTTTGTCTGAGTTGACATGACAGACACCATTCGATTTCCATCGGGTTTCCTGAAGGCAGCAGATGTCAATCCTTCTACGCTCGAGCATTTCTGCGATTTCAATGCTGCGGCCAGTCAGTGATCCAACATTGAGCGTTCCAAATCTAAGTACCATAAAGGGGCCATTCTGAATTTTTCTGCAACATCCCTCCGCTATTGCATGCTTCCCAGGGATTCTTGGCACCCCTTGACCACTTAAGGCCTGCTGGGGACTAGGGGCCGTTGTTTTTTTTTGTGATGGCATAAGAGTAAATTGGGGAAAAAATTGAAAGTACTTGAAAATTTGCTGAGTAGACAGAAGTTGACTAATAATATAATGAGGAGACATTTTGTTGAGAGGAACAAAATTTATCATAAAACGAATAAGTAGCAAGTACTGATTACTATAAACACTAATCATTTATTAATAAAATCATCCCTTTATCTTGCCTGTGAATTGTAACAATTACATCACCGAATAGAACAGAGAGTTGCAAATAATGAGGAAGTTGGATCACCAGAACATCATCAAGCTGCTTTACTTTTTTTATTCAAGTGGGGACAAGGTTGTTGCAGTTTTGTTTTTTTCTTATTTTTAAATTTTTTATAGCAAAAAAACAACCATTTTTCTAAGCACCTTATTTTATATTATTTATTACACAAAAAGCAGTGTACATACATGACCTGATGATAATAATGATTATTTCCAAATAATTTCACGCAACAGAAGGATGAGGTCTACTTGAATCTGGTGATGGAGTTCATACCGGAGACTGTCTACAGAGTGGCTAGACACTACAACAAAAACAAACAAGTCATCCCATTCCTCTACATCAAGGTTCTTTCTAATCAATTTTACAATCCAATGAATGGCTATTTCTATGTATCTATGGCTTCAATTTAATTTGTTTTAATGCAAAGTTGTTTGTTTACTGACATTGTTTTATATATTTTTTGTTTATAATTTTTTACTCAGATTTGAACGCAGCCTGGATGCAAATGAGAAATTTGAATAAAAATGTAAAATTAAGTTACTTGATGTCCTTTCGATTATGCAGTTCACTTATATTTACTACACTTATTTGTTTCTACTAGTTTTTAGTATTAATTGTTCAGATGAGTCTACAGTTATTGATGATGAATTGGTGCTACAACCAATGTTCCAAACTGTTTAAATGAACAATTAAAAATAATTTTAGCTATGCAAATCTACACAGGAATTATGTTCAAACACTGTTTTTTGCATAATCAAATGCATGTAATATTTTACAAAATTTTTTTCCTTCAATCATTTCTCAAAATGAACTTCAGCTCCAACTTTTTATTATGGAAAATCCCTTCCTACCTGAAAATGTGCATCTGGTTCGTTTCGGTTGCTTTATTAACAACTACATCTCTTTTACATGAGTTGAGTCCATGAGGTGACTTGCAAGAGGTACTGTGTTGAAAAGAATAACTTAGCTTATATCAAAGAAATTGTAGGCAACTGGCAATAAGGATTGTGGCAGAGGTTAAGAACGTGAAAGTTTGAACTAAAAAAAGTCATGCCTATTTGTTATCTGTGTTCATTTTTATAGATTGGATTTTAAAAATTAGCACCATTGATGTGTACGAAGAGTAGAGCATATAGGCATATAGAGCAGTAGAGCCCCAAGCGGATAACCGCAATCTTCTCTGCTTGGGGCTCTAATAGGCACAAATGGAAAGCTTTCCATGGCCTTTATCAGTAAAAGTGAGTGGCATGTTATATGATTAGCAAAACATGTCAGAGGCAAATTTAGGGAGGCTGATGAGAATGTATTGCCGACAGTCAAAATATTCGTGATGTGTTGAAATAACGTAGCGAGATATACAAAACTAATATATTTTACATGCTGCAACTTTAAAACTTATAGTAGTAGTTTAACACTCCTTTTAAAATGCATCAATGAATTCTGTAAAATTTAGCAATCAGTAAAAACTGATGCGTCAGTAAACACCGATATATTGGTAATTTTGCGGTATCGGTTTTGTTTTATCTTTCTGTTACCGAATTTTCAACTCACCAATCGACAGAAGTAAAATTATAGCTTGTACAAATCACAAACTGTTATTGTTAACATTTTTGTTGTATACGATTTCAGCTTTACATGTATCAGCTGTTTCGAAGTCTTTCCTACCTGCACTTCTGTGGTATTTGTCACAGAGATATTAAACCGCAGAATCTATTACTCAACCCTGAAAACGGCATTTTAAAGTTATGTGACTTTGGCAGGTAGTTTTGATGTCTTCTTGACGTAATATTCCCGTTAACAACATTTTTATATTCACAGTGCGAAACAACTGATAAAAGGAGAGCCCAACGTTTCTTACATCTGTTCAAGATATTACAGAGCGCCTGAATTAATTTTTGGAGCAACTGACTATTCACCAAAAATTGGTTTGAAATTTCCCATTTTGTTTCATAACATAAATTTCTGATTATTTTAAAGCTTTTATCTAAGACGTAAAAATAAAAGTAATCTTGCGTGTCACATTGCTAGCTGAGTTATTTAAATGCAAACCAGCCAAAAATTGGCTCAAACTACAAAGTGAAAACAAGTTCTTCGGTTAAATAGTATGTTTATTATTTAGAAGCATCTGCATCAACATTCATCTTTAGTAATATTCACACGAAGCCTTTTATACGTAGTCGGCAGTTTGCCACATTAGAACGATATCTAGTCGTGGCCACGTTTGCTTGATGAAATGCAAAGTATATTTTTTGATGTTGATAAACATAACAAAGATTTTGATAAAAATATTCACACAAAATTTCTCCAACAAGACTTATGGTCTGCTGGTTGCGTGATGGCAGAGTTGATGTTGGGCCAACCAATATTCCCTGGAGACAGTGGTGTAGATCAGATTGTGGAAATTATCAAGGTTATAAATATCTCCCGCTTTTTACTTGAGCGTGTAATTCAGATATATTTTATTATGTGTTATTTCATAGCCAAGCAAAGATTTATTTTCGTTTCAAACATTTTTTTTTACTTTATAAGCAAATTATAAAAATATTGATATTTTAGCCGTAGCATCCGTCATCTTGTCATGAACCTTCACTTTCCTTATAATGTTTTTTATAGCATTAACAATATCATAACTGTCTGATTGTACATTGTTGTTGTTACGGATGGTTCAATCCAACGAGGCTTGTCATCAGTTCACTCTTTCTCGATGATGCTGATGTATAATTTTGAACAAACTTCATGTGAAATTATATAACACTCACTCTCACTTTTCTCTCGTATAATTTTATAAATGCGACTTTACAAATTTCAACGCACATTCAGATTTTAGGAACGCCAACTAAAGAACAGATTCGAGAAATGAATCCAAATTATCAGGAATTCAAATTTCCTCTAATAAAAACACATCCATGGTCCAAAGTTAGTTAACTTTAACATTTCTTCATACCATCAGTTGTTTATGTGTGTGTGTGTGACCAGGTTGAATAAAATTTGATTTGATATATATCCATCTGCATATTCTTCATTGTTAGGTCTTCAGACATCGAACAACACCTGAGGCGATAAACTTAATTAGTTCCCTACTTGAATATATTCCATCACGTCGCATTTCACCCATCGAAGCTTGTGCTCATCCGTATTTCGATGAACTTCGAGACCCAAACACCAAATATATGGGTGGTAGAGATCTTCCACCGTTGTTCAACTTCTCTCCAATTGGTTAATATATTATTACTATTATTGTTATTATTTTATTAAGTTGTGAAAGTGTGCATATTATGTTAACCCATCTTTAGTTATGGTGGTTGTTTACGCCGACAAAGTCAATAAAATAATGTTCAGTTCCAATTAATAAAGCTATTATGCCTTTTTATTCTTCAAAAAGGTAGATGAATGTTACCAACATTTTAATAGTTTGTGGGTAGGATCATCCTACCAATGCTATTTAGCATCAAGTCATCTGTATTTTTGTTGTAAAATAGCTGTCAATTGATGTCCCAGATTATGTTCTAGATTATACAAATAATAACTTTTATTCCAACATTGTCATTCACGTATCACTGTTCATTCATCGCATACTCTGATAATTCGCATTAGTAGCCTCAGCAATATGTCTCTTGCTACGTCTGCCATACTCTACCACCAAATGTCTCAAGCTTGGCTCTGAACAAAGAAAGATCGGCTTCCACTTTTACCATCTCTTCTTAAGTTTATTGTTTCAATAAAAGGCTTTCTGTTTTTGAAATATTGAATAAAGTGAATCACAAGCAACATATTTTTACAGCTTATAAGATTAATGTGAATCGATCAGCGCACGCAGTGCGATGGACTCTTTCGTTAGGGTCCATCCATGAAGAATGTCGGGCTTTTTGAAATCACCCATTCCTCCTCACAAACTGTCAAATTTTTAAACTCTCCTTGTAAAGCACGTCACAATTTTTTGTCCCTCTCTCTTCTTGCATTTACCGTTTGCTTGCTAACAATTTAACAAATAAATATCAACTATATTTAATAAATTGGAATATAAAAAAGCACGAACATAACTTCATAAAAAAATGAGAAGTGCATCAAAAAAGCAAATTTCTTTGGCCCCTACGTACTGAACACATAGAGTTTTATAATTTTTTTAAAAGTGTTAACAACTTTTTATTAAGTCACTAGGGAAACTGGAAATAGGCAAGGCAAATCAGGGTGTCACATGAGCTTTTATCCCCCGCCTCTTGTCACAAAGTGTCAAATTTATTGACACCTTCCTTCAAAGCCTGACTTTCGTAATGAACCTTATCTTTTCATCAACGTTCACTTTACATGTAATGTTATTTTCAATGTCGCTCGTCTTTCTTCTTCTTTATTGTGCCTTATCTTTTCAAGACATTAGCGACATTGGCCTCCACAAAACCCGATCTTTAACACTTTGTAGTAGTTGAAATGTGGTGAGGTTCAACAAGTGACACGAGGACTTTACGAATGTTATTCGTTGTTGACCGCGATCTCTTTTTCATGCAATCTTTCCAGTAGTTGTTAGATTTTCCATTCTTTCCTTCCGCATGATGTGACCAAAAAACATTAACTGTCCCTGTCGGATTATCTGTAGTAATTTCCTCTTTTCGTAACCGGACTGTTTTAATACATCCTCATTCGAAGTATGAGAGGTCCAACTAATTTTCATAATTCTTCTCAAAAACCAAATCTCAGCAGCGTTAATCTTTTTTTCAATTTCTTCAGAATTGTCCAGGACTCAGAGCCGTATAGGGAAAATGTAACTCTCTAACAGTTTTATTTTTGCTGATATTCTGATTTTACTATTGGTTATGATGTTTCACATTTTAGAATATGCATCTTTCGCCATAGCCATTCCTTTTTAACATCCACATTTTTTTCCCTAAATTTTATTGACATCAAAGGCAATCAAGAAGTTATAATGAAAACTTGTGCTGATTACCTTAACTGAGGTGCAAGATGTTCAATAATTGTCAAATTAAGCAATAAAACAAAATGTTATATATAACAGAAATAAAATAGCATAATCGATAAAAACAAAAACTATCTACTAATAAAAAGTTTAAGCAGAAATTAATTTGATATTCAAGTTCAGACGAAACGAAAAAAAGAAAATAAACAAAATTTAGTAAGTCATAAAATTCTCAAAATTCAGTCAATTTCAACAACATTTCTAAGTAAACTTTCTTTAACAAAATTTTTGAAAAAATTAATTGGCATAGTTCTAGCCTCAACACTGACAATAGCATTCCATAGCTTTATTCCTCTAACCGACCAATTTCTATCATTTGTCCTAGTTCTACTTATAATAGAGCAAAGCATACCATTATGTCTTGTCAATGAGTTTGAGTATTTAAAAGAGTTTATAAACTTATAGCTTACATTGTTCATATTTTTATATATAAAAACAAGGGTGGGTTATATATATATTGATTTGATGAATGTTTAATATCTTATATTTAGCAAATAGTTGTTTAGTATGATCAAACCTATTTAAAAAAAAGCAAGTGTGTAAAAAATATTTTTGAAGTACTTGTAATTTGTTTATTAGATATTTAAAGGTTGATCTCCAGAATGCATTGCCGTAAATAAAGTATGGGTAAAAAAATGAGTAATAAATCATTAACATTGCGTTTGGAGTTAGCTTGTCGCGTAATTTGTACGCAACGCCAATGACTTTATATAATTTATTAACTATCATGCGTACATGTTGCGTCCAATTCAAATCACTTTGTATGACAATTCCAAGAAACTTGGTAGACTCGACTCGTGGTAGGATAGTGTCACCAATTGTTAGAGACAAGTTAATAAATATTTTATTATTAGTTTTAATTTTAGTACCAATATTATATAACTAAACTTTTTAAGATTTAGAACCAATTTGTTTATTTTAAAATAATCCTGGTATCTGACAAGATGTTCATTCATTTCGCTGAACAACGCCACCGGATCATTATCAGACAAAAATATATTGGTGTCATCGGCATAAAGTACCGTAGTACAACGATTATTCACCAAAAAAATATCGTTCACAAACAGAATAAACAACAAAGGACCCAATATTGGCCCTTGCGGAACGCCAGTCTTGACAACAGACAATGAGGATTCATTACTTTCAACGGAAACAAATTGTCCACATCACATTTACAACCTGGGGCAATCAGACTTCCGAAATAATTGAAGCTGTTGACTTGTTTCACTTGTTTACTATTAATGATTATGGAGCAGATCGGGGCGGTTTTGCCCTTACTGATAATTATGTACTCTGTTTTGTCGATGTTCATGTTAATTTGCAAACCTTTCTTTTCACTTTCAAAAACCAGTTTGGAAACAATTGTTTGCAGATTTTCCATTGAATCTGTAATAAGAGCTGTATCATCAGCATATCTTACATTGTTTGTATTCACGCCTCCAATGGATATTCAAGGTAGATTTTCTATCTTTCTCACGATGATCTTACTATAGAGATTGTATACAGGTCTGGCGAGAATACATTTTTGCCTAACACCTTTCTTTATTTCAGCAAAACTAGTCATCTTGTTACCAACTTTCATCACTGCTCTTTAATCCCAATAGAGGTTTTTGATAACTCGTTTCAATCGTAGAGTTTAATTCCGAATCACATTGAAAAGGGAATATTTTTTGAACAACACTTTTTCAATCATCTTGATTTGAGTAAAGTTGTTGATGGTACGTCTGAACCCAACCATATTTTTTGTTGCAGAAGCTTGCCATCTTCAAATTCTTCCTCTGTCATGAAATACTTTTATTTATCGACGTTCCAAATTTTCACTTTAATATTAAAACTGTAATCATAAATTTAAATCACGTGATGAAACAAACTTAAATATTGAAAATTTGATAGAGTTGACGATAAAGCCGTCGTTGAATAACGTGTTGATACCATCGTACCTCAGTCAGAGCATGGAAACGAACGTCGAAACAACTGGAAACGATCCTCTTTCAACGGATGGAGCAGGTGCCGCACCTCCTTCCTCTCCATAAATAATAATTTGCATTTCAGTTTTTGCTTGCAATTTTTTAAATCTTTTTCGCTAAACTATTTGTATTTAAACATTCGAATGGTTAATCATTAAAACTTCTTTATCTATGTTTCAAGGTTTTTTAAAACTAAAAATAAGAGGTTCGAGAAATCTAATTTAATATCAGTCAATGTTACTGTATATTAGTGTAAAATTGATGATAGTTTATTCCTTATTAACTGCAAATTTTTAGAACTTTTAAGCCGTCATGTGGTAGAACACCGTTAATTTATTTTTAACAATAGTCACGTTCCTAGATATTGTTACGTTAATTGCAATTCATTTTGGTAATATGTTGTTTATATAAATGATCTAGTACAATTGCCATTGTCAACATTACTCAACAACTAACATTTCTGTCCCGGCAAGGTTTTATTGCACTTGTTGAGCTCGTTGCCAATTAAGAGAAACATTCTGAATCTGAGGAGAACGCATAAAACCTTGTAAAAAGTTTATGTAACTTGCATGAATTGTGCTCGAGAGTTTTAAATATCTTTAAGCCTATTTCTCGGTAATATTCAAGCTTTGACAACGCATTATTAATTGATCGAATATTTGTAAAAAAAATTGTCGGTTAAATAAAGACATGAATGAATAATCAGATATATAAAAATAAGCCAATGATCACAAGTGTGGTAATGTAAAGTCGTCGAGGAGACATTTGTTGCTGATGGAATTCTATCCTTTCAGTATTACTTGAACAAATTCTGTGAAAGAATTTTATGAATAATAGTGTTTATAAAAGTTATTTTCAAAAAAATTTACTGTATTAAAAACTAATTTATAACATGCACAAATTAATATTAAAACATCATCCCATGAAATTGTATTCCTGACTTTGTCATTAAATAAAACTTAACATGCCCCGTCACGCCAAGGTTGCATACTTCACGCGATTCGACAACTGAATGGATAAATGTCATAACACGAGACAACATCACTTACACATCAGATCATGATTTAACTAAGAAGTAAACAACAAATTTTTAACTTTGTCGGAAAGGTAAAAAATGTTTGAGGAGACAATATTTTTATGCCATGAAAGAGCAAAATACTTTCAAACCAAAATAAATTTGAATGCAGCTGTTTGTCTGGGGTGCATCATAATTGCAGCGTCTCCAGTCAACTCACTCCTCAAAATTCTCGTCTATCTTGGATTTCTTCTTCTTATCTCTGTAATCGTTTTTCTTCTGTTGTTCTTAATAATGCTACTTCTAATTCCTCTACTCTTATTTTTGATGTACGTCAGGGATCTATCCTTGGTCCTCTTCTATTTAAGTTCCATACAAGCTCGTATTATTAATAATTTGTCTTTTATTTTCTTATATTTATAATTCTTTTCTTCTATCAAATCTCAATAGTGTTATTCATGATTTATCTCTATGTCTCTCTTCTATTATCGCTTGGTGTGACTATATATGTCTTAAGCTAAATCCGTCCAAATTTGAATTAATAAGTTTGGCAAAATACTAGAACAGTGCCTGCGACGCGAAAGTAAGTATGAATTAGATAGTGCACATGATTAAAAAACGTGAAAATACTTTTAAAAATATAAATTTTAATCTAAACCCTAACCAAACCCTATCAAATCTTTTATATAAAACTTATTTACGTGTAAATAACGTGTTTTCAATTGAATGGTAGGCACTGTCATAGGATTATGCCATAAGTTTCAATAAATCTGAAAACTTACTATTTTTTCCTTCTATTGCTTTTTTGACTCTAAAACACTTAATGTTTTTCATAAGTTTCGCAATATAGGCTTTATCTATGGTTTTATCATGTCTCTTTCTTCTCAGATTAATAGTGTTGCTAGAAGTTCTTACTTTCGTCTAAGTAGGATAAACAAACTTTTGCCTTTTCTTGACGATCCTACTCTTCTTGTTACTTCTTTAGTTTTATCTAGGATTGATTATTGTAACTCGCTCTACTATGGTCTTCCTGATTCTACACTCTATCCTTTAAGTAAAGCTTTTAACTCTGCTGCTCGTCTAGTTGCTCGTGCTCTTTTTTTTCTCATTTATCTCCATATATTGTTCTCTTAGCATCGGCTGTCTATAAAATAAAAAATAATTTTAAAAATTTGCGCATTAATTTATAAATGTCAATCTAAATTATTTCCTAAGTACCTAACAAATTTATCAATTAAACGTAAACGATCGTCTTTTTGTTCTCCCATTTTTGTATTAAGCTCTAATGCTAAATCTGCATTTGCTTTTTCTGACCCTTTTCTCTGGAACGTCTCTAACTACTCCTTCATCACTTGCGAAGTTCAGAGCAGATCTCAAGACCCATCTATTTGTAAAGTTCACTGAGGAACGCTGTTGAACATCACGGAAATGGCGTTTTCATTGATTGAAAATACAACGTTATCTGACGCAGTACTTGTAATTGTAATGTAATAATGCAACGATATCAATAACATTTTCAAAGATTTACTATTCTTACTAAAATTCTTCTTGAATGATAAGAATTAAATGAAAAGAGAGCTTACTTTCATAATTAACTTTGCCGTTATGTACGCAGCCAGTCATTTTCAGTAATTCATCAGCTTCATCATCTGTCAATTTTTCACCAACACTTGTGAGTAAATGTTTCACTTCAGCTATAGACAGCTGACCATTGTTTTCCTTGTCATAAGATTTGAACACTTCACAAAGTTCATCCGATTTCTCGGTTGGTGGGTTTGAAACAATTTTAGAAATTAGTTGAATCAGCGTTGATAAGTCAACTTCACCTCCTAAAAAATTTTTCAAATCAAATTTACATTGGTTTCATTAAAAAAAGATATATATAACTTGACATTTTAAGAAATCTGCTAACTGATGGGTCACATCTAAAAAAGGGTATTTTTTAGTATCTCTGTAGGGTGTAGGCATGGCTACAATTTGAACTGGGTAGCCAATCTCATTTGAACAAACATTTTTCACCATAGGACGTAACTTATCTCAAGCACATGCTGGTTCAAATTCCGATTCATAGATTTTCCTCATTCCATTGACTAAGCTAATCTTTCACACACATCCCTTTTTCTTCAATTAGTCATTTTTGTTTTTTTTATACAAATCTACATAATATTCTGTTCATTGAGAAGTAGGGAGTTTAATGCATGTTTGATGAATGCTCATTCACGGAGAAAATGAATATTCTCTATATGAATCTCTTCATATGAAGAATACATTACAGATTAGCCTTCTTACATGAATCTTTTCGTTGCCAATTTAGATGAAGTGCACATCATTGTGTTTTTTAAATATATCAAAATATTCTTTGCAATGTTAAAACTAAAAATATAGAATTAGTCAAAACCAAATGAAACATGATTTTTCTTCACTGTTTTTCCAATCATAAGCAGTTTCATGATCTATTGCTTTGGGACCAGTTGATCTGAGTGCAACATTCTTTTTTTAATTGGTCGCGAAATTGATGATTTTTTAAATTATAAACTATAAAAAAATAAAACCGGCTTTCCCTAAAAAATTTTGATGTTAGCAAATGACAACAATTAAAAGTAACCGCTGGAATAAACTCTAATTAACAAACACAGTCATATAAATACCATCATATTATCACAAACATTTTCTTCATTCAGCAGTTTAATTAATATGTCCTTTTTATTAATCCTCTTTTTATTTTTTATCATTATAAATATGTATATATATTTCTACATTTATATAAATATATTTACACTTGGCTATGAAACAAAAACTGTTTTTTCTTAGCCATGCATCTTTCTACATCTAACAATATTTTAAAACACTGAAAAAATAAATTAACATGAATATGGCTTGAAACCTGTTTGACTAATTTCTTGAGCAATTTCTTGAACTTCCGCCTCGGATGGTTTCAATCCGACAGACCGTATGACAGGTCCCACATCCCGTGAAGCAATCTTGCCACTCTTGTTGTAATCAAACAGCATAAATGCTTCTCGTAGTTCTGAAACAAATTAAAACAATTAACAAAAAACAACAGAATCTGCCATCTACTCTTAACCCAGTAAGTACAATTTTAATAATAAACTATATATATATTGATATATAGATGATTGATATATATATATATATATATATATCAATCAATCAATCTTTGCTTAGCGTCCAGAGACCTAGTTCCCGAGAGGTAGGACATATATATATATATATATATATATATATATATATATATATATTTATATATATATATTGGTAACAGACTGTTGTTAACGCAACATTTCAAAAATTCAACACTACTTTCAACATTGTTAAACTTTTTTATATTCCTTTTTAATTTATTAATTTCAGAAAAATTAGACATTTTATTGTTCTTTAAAAAAATTTTATTAAATAAATTTGCAAATAGCTATTTCGAGTTATAAATAACTCATCTTCAGTGCATTATATATAAGGTATGTAAGATATTTGATATAAAGGAACAAGTAATTATTAATTTATATAAATTATTTAATTAAAACAGAAAACCAATAAAATAAATTTAATAACTATAAACAATATAAAACGCGATTTTTAAAATTTTTTTTAAATTTTAACGACAAGATTGTTTATATTATGGTTGTTAAGGTAAATATCAACGCTCAGCCGAGAAGAAGCGCGAATTAGTTTATTTAATTAACTACATATTATTAATATTATTTTGACAATATTTAAAAACGTTATTATTATTATTATTGTTAACGTTATTATTATTATTATCATCGCTGTGGTTCTTCTTGCTTCTTGTGATATCACAAGACGTTTTTGTAAATAATAACATTTTTAAATATTGTCAAAATAATA